AATTAACGCTGGTATCGCTTTCAGAACTTCCGCCAGAAGCGCCGAGCCAACTGCCAAGGCCACACGACGGATGGCGCGCCGACTACATCCTCCGTGTCACCGACGACGAATATCGTCCCAGGTTGCAGCCTGCCGCCGACGCCGTCCGGGCCTACAGCGGGCAGCGATGTCGCGCTTCCCGCCGTCACCACCTCTTCCTCTTCCGCAATCGGGGATCATGCGGTCTCCGATCGGAATCGATCTGAGCCGTTGTGCCAAGGTGAACGCATGAATCGGATCGACTCGAAGTCGGAATCCGCGACAGCACGCAGGCGACGCCGTCCGCGTCCTCGTCTCCACTTTTGCCCACAGTTCTAGCATTGCAGAATCGCGTGTGCACGTATATTTACCTGGAAGTCACTCGGTCGCACGTACTACGCCCACGCACACAACGCCGGGAACGATATTTACGCATTCCTGACCCCACGCTCCGGGCTATACATAGCCACGTGCGCCCGCAGTTATAACTACGCGGACCACCTGATCCGGTTTTTCTGATTCGCGCGCTATCAACGCATTTCCTAGGCGCCATTGTACGCTAAACAGTTTTTCTTTTCATTTTTTCGCAAGGAAGCGCATGATAATACTGTGTACTGTGTCGCGGAGAGCGCGACGTCGCCTCTGTTAATCTATGATACAGATACGGTGATTGATGTATTGCCTTGTATCTATTTCGTCGTTATCATCGCGATAGATAAAATCCTAATGAGGCGGGGCGATATATGATATAGTTAATTATTACTCACAGTATATAGTAATTTAGAGTTACCGTGAGTGAAGTAAGATCTGAGGCTTCGACCTGAGATTCGACCAATCTTGTGTGTACTCGCCAGTTAAAACAGTTCTTGGAACTTTTTAGTGGAGGAACACCAAAAGAAATTGGTTGCGGAACAATTGGCCAGGAAGGAAAGGCTCGCTAAGGAACTGAGAGTTGAGAAGGGACGACTCGAAGCGATGAAAAAGGAAGTACTAGCATTAGCCCGACCAGTGAATCCTTCGATATCACCTCAAGTATGTACAGTCGAGAAAAATTATTCATCATTTAGACTTTTCATGTATGTCTCAAAGCGTGACTTTTACAGGAGCTGAAGAAAAAGTTGAGAAGCGAAATATATATGCTGCAGGTCGAGTGCGACAGATTGGCCGATGAAGTGGATCAATGGTCAGACAGACGAGGTATCTATATCTTATCACGTTCTCGCGTGCGAAGTAAAGAACGACTTGTAGCCAACGATCGTGCTTTTAGTACCATTGGGCGAAACCAACGAGGAGTTTTATCAGGGCATTTATACCGGCCAGTCGTTGCCGACGAGACCGATGAATCCGCAACCGCCACGTCTGCCGAGTCAATTACCGGCATGGCGACCAGAACAGCCGACGACAACGATCGCGAGTGATAACGACCGAGAGGAACGGGATGAACCTTCCTGGGTCTGCACTATGTGCACCTTCGACAATCATCCATTAATGAACAAGTGTGAGGAGTGCGATATGCCGAGACTGTTGGACCACCGCGGCGGCAGTGCAGGTATAGTGCCAGTCGGCAAGCCGCCGGGAGCTTTGCCATCGACCTCGTTGTCATCGTGGTGATAGTGACTGGAACACTTCTCCAATCACATTAGAATAAAATAACTCGTTGCCTAACAGCATGTAGACTTTTGATACACCCTTTGCAAAAAACTTGCGAGAATTGTTTTCCGCGAGGGTACTAATCGTGAAAAACAATTCTCGCAAGTTTTTGAAGTTCGCTCGAGTGAAAGTGATATATTTTATTCTACTGTATTTTTAAAAAACTGTAATAAAGTGTGGGAGTGTTTTTATAACTATGTTATAAAAAATTGTATACTTAATTACATTAATCATAGTTTTAGCATAATAAGAGAAGAGAACAGAGTTTGCGATTCTGTCCTCATTTGTTTGTTAAAGATGTTTGTATTTATTAATTTTGATATCGCACGATAAATTAACGTTCCATTTACATCTCGTACGTTTTTTAATATAACATCTAAAATATTAACATTGTTGACATAGCATTGATGCCTCCTAGCAAGAAATAGTCATCTTTGATTCTAACTCAAGGTAAAATATATTTTTAAGGTGAGAAATTTTATGCCTGAATTATACGTAACATCGTTCCGTTTAATTTTATCACAATGTTAATAGTGAATTGAATTTTAGGGGAAACGCAAGATATTCATATACGAGTAACGCATCATCACAATTTTTCGCCACGGCGTGAGTACTTTTTCTATCGCTGTTTCTGTTGAAACAAAATACTTTATAGATGTTATGTCTAAAAATATTTATTTATGCTATTTATAAAAGATAATTACATCTTACTTTTCCAGACATAATGCACAGTTGGGTGGTATGATGCGAGCTGAATTAGAAGTTTTTAAAGAACTGTACATATATATAAAAATTCTTATTTAAATTAAACGAATTTTGTAGAGCTTAAGCGATTGTAATAGAGCATACGTGACTAATGTATAATAATTTAACTCAATTTTTTATTTACATGATTAGTACATATCGCGCGTTATTAAAATCGTTGAATAGTTGTCCGTTTTCAAGCGTTTTTTGCGCTAAATGACTAATCAATAAATTGTATTTCTTTTTCCTCCAAGAAATTTTCACATCCATTTTTTTCGACCTTTACATATTGCAGAACAATAGATGTTCATCTTCAATAAACGAAAGATCTATATTCAATTAAATACCGTAAAATTACTTTCTCCCGATTTTTATTTGTGTAAAAATTATATATATAGTTTAATAGTAAAATACAAGTATTTGTGATAATTATAGCGATATTCTTCCTTTATATAGCTGTGCCCCTCTCCAAGTTTAATTTCGTTTCTCGAGTATATTCGCCATAGAACCTCTCCAATTTCTGATTAAATTTGGCGTTACGCTCATTGATATAATCTATATCTGCATCATCGTTGTGCATTCTACGTCTACTATATTTCTCTCGTTTTGCGATCCTACAAAAAAAGGAGAAGAGCATGATATGAAGGATTGTGTAATTTTATTATGCAAAATTATTGACGTTATTACTTACTGTTTCTCCAAATTGGTAACCATTTTATCTATAGCTTCCTTTTTATCCTCATGTAAACCGTGTAATATCGTGTTTGGGTCACCATAAAAGGCAGGTCCCAGCTTCTCCTTTGCCTCTTCATATGCCTCCATATTTGGTTTAATGTTTTTTACTTGTCTATTATAAGAACGTATTGCTGCTTGTTCGTAATCCGAAAAACCTGGATCAGGATTTTGTTTGCTTTTTTTCTTTCTGGCAATTCTCTCTGCTTCTGTGGCATCAATATTCAGCAATTTCTTTCGTTCGTAGTCTTCACCCTGAAAAATAAATGATATGATTAATATGAAGTAAATTAAATAAAATAATTTCATATGTCTAAAATTAAAAATATCTTAAATTAAAAATAGAATATATAACAGATCTCGATACCTTGGTTTCTGCCTCTTTTCTAGCTGCTTCGTCTTGTATTATCCATTCGGCCTGTCTTTTGCGAGATTCCCAGTTGGCAGGCAGTTTATTCCTCTTGTCCTCCTCCACAACTTCCTTGTGATTCTGCATTCTGGCCTGATTCTGTTAAATCAATGTGTTATAGACAAAATTGCGATGATAAATTCTAGTACATTTGATAATACATTTGATAATTGGACAATCAATATTCTTTATTTAAATGAGATAATTTAGAATAAATTAAGAGACAATGCAACTTATATAAAAGAGAAAAAATAAAGAGCCAAAATTATGCTTAGAACAAATTTACAAACTTTCACACATTTCAAGTAGGTTATCTTTGTGTTATTGTGAACTCACCCTTTTCATATGAAGTTCTCTGAATCGTTTCATCCTTTCCTCGTATTTAGTATCCGTCGTAGATTGCGTGGACGACGCATTCGGCGTCGCATCGTCCATTGTCGAACAGAATAAGATACAATCTCTCAATATAAGCTTGCACCGACCAACATAAACCAACGCAAGAAGATGGCGACCTGTCAAGTGATACCAAACGGTAGAACAAATTAACTCCTGCGCATCAAATTACATGCTAGCAGCCGCTCTTCGTCATCAGTGACGTATATACAGGGTGGGAAAAATGTCCCGGACCCCTGAAATATCTCAATAACAAAGCATTTTTGAGAAAAATATTTCATACAAAAATTGTAGAGTTTTAAGAGACGCATCACGTAGTAAGATTAGTATGATGTTGAATAACGAAATCCGACATTTTCTCCCCGCTTTGTATAATAATGCATTCAGAGATATCATGGGGTTGATTATATATTTTGAAAATTACAAAAGTGAGAAAGTAGAGTATTTCTGTTCTAGAGTATCTTCTAGAGTATCTGTAATTTATATTTCGAGATATGTTATATGTCGAAAGCTAGTAAAAAAAAATAAGTTTTCTCTTGTAATTTTCATATCGGTTCAAGATACACAATCGATCCTCGAATCCATCATAGCAAAGATATAAATATCAAAAATAATAAAATATTTAAATAAATGCATAACACGATTTCTAAATGATAAATCAAATTTATTTGTTGCGTTTGCAGATTTATTACATAAATAATAATATATAAATTTATAATTATAATACATATAATCATGTAAATAATATATAATTATATAAACTTGTTGCAAGGATAAGCAAAAATTATAGAAAATTGCGTCAAAATAATGAAATAATTTGATAATGTAAAATCTGTTTAATTTCTTATATAATATAATAATCTAATATAATAATATTATAATTTATTTATATTTATAATATTATATTTAGCCATACTAAAGAACATTCGATTATTGTTTGTAATTATTTCTTAAAAATTTTTTTCTTAAAAAACAGTATTTCTTAAATATGATAAATTA